CTCTGAGGTGAGGTGGGGGGGGAGGGAAACGGCTGCTTAAAGGGGGGGTCTCCACCTGGTTGTGGTGTACCCGGACTCCCTTGGAGCCTCTCCCAGCACCTCAGGGTGGTCCCCGGGCTGGTCTCTGGGGTCACTTCTGTGAGGGAATCGTTTCCTTGCAGGCTTGTGGGGCTCTTCCCTCCTTTGCTGTGAGGAGGGAGGAGTGTTTGCAGTGCTCGAGCCCTTCTTTGCCCTGCATTGCGGCAGCAGCCGTCCCCACAAGTAGCCTTTGTGGTTTGGGTTGTGTCAAGAGTGGTTGTTATTCAGGCTCCCAGTATGTGGAGGGGGGGAAAAACCCATCACGTGGAGGTGAATGACACCATCACCTGCCTGCTTTCTTTCCATGGAATTGCTTGGGGATTGAGGTTAGGCTGCCCGTAGGAACTGGTGCTCTCAGCTGGGTTGAGTTTCGCTTCATTCTCAGTTTCTTCCTGCTCGAGGTCTGAGAACTGAAGAATCAATGAACTGAAAGTGAAAAACGACTCTTGGAGGAAAAGGGTCAGAAGCAGTAGTGAGGGTTTGGAGGGATGGATGTGTCTGTAACAGGGGCTCTCAGGGGTGGTTTCACTGTGACTGGGTGAGAGGACTGATTGACCTCTATGCTGCTGGTTGGAATGTGTCACCTTCAAGAAATCAATTATTCAGCATCTTTCAGAAGTCTCAAGGGAGGAGACAGGCTTTCTTACCTTTCTTCTCTGAAATGGAAAGCTTCCCCCTGAATTTGTGGTGGGTTGACCCTGGCTGGATGCCCAGCAAAGCTGCTCCATCCCTCCCCTCCTCAGCTGGACAGGGGAGAGAAAACAGAATGGAAGCCTTGATGGACAGAGATTACACATCAGTTACCACCCTGGGCAAAACACACTCGGGGAAATTAGTTTAATTTATTGCCAAGCAGGTCAGAATAGGATCATGAGAAATGAAAAACAAATCTTAGAACACCTTCCCCCCAGTAAATAGTTTTACATAAAGGAGGGATTATGTCACATTTGCAAGTAAAAAACTCTCTTCTTCACCCTCTAGCTATGTTGAAAGTGCCTCTTCCCCCCCCCCCCATCTGATTATACAGCTTAAGAAAGTGGATTTAAAGTTGTTGATGGAGAGAACACATCAGTTATTCCAAGAATGTCCCCTGTAGCATTGAAGTTTTTTTTGTAGGAGCTGTTCCTGCATGTTCAGCTCTGTTGGTTTTTGTGAAGAATTCATTTTCTTAACTGAGATATATCTCTTGTTCCTCAGGCAGTGGCTCAAATCCTTTCCAACACTTGGAGAAGAGTGCTGTTCTTCAGGAGGTATGAATCATCATAGTATAATCATGTTGAGCTCTTCATTGTGTTGGGTTTTTTTTTTGTCTCCAGAAAGTGTTAGCAGGTTAAGGAGGTTTTACAGGGCAACTCTCAGAAACTGTAAATGGGTAGATTTGTGTGGTTAATACAGTTAAATTAATTCCTAGAGTTAATTACAAGGTATGTGAATTAAGTGCAGATGAAGTTGTTCACTGAGAGGTTTCTGGATGGTAATTAGATCAGATATGACTTCTGCCCCACATATATGTCCATGGAAGGGCCCTGGAGCTGGGGAAGGGGCTGGAGCAGAAGGAGAAGGGGCTGGAGAACTTGTGAGGAGCAGCTGAGGGAGCTGGGGGTGTTGAGCCTGGAGCAAAGGAGGCTGAGGGGAGACCTTCTGGCTCTGCAGCTGCCTGAGAGGAGGTTGGAGCCAGGGGGGTCGGGCTCTGCTCCCCAGGAACAAGGGACAGGACAAGAGGGAACGGCCTCAAGTTGTGCCAGGGGAGGTTGAGGTTGGATCTGGGGAACAATTCCTGCCTGGCAAGGGTTGTCAGGGCCTGGCCCAGGCTGCCCAGGGCAGGGGGGGAGTCCCCATCCCTGGAGGGGTTTCCAAGCCCTGGAGATGGTGCTGAGGGACATGGGGCAGTGGGGACTGGGCAGGACTGGGGGAAGGGTTGGACTTGATGATCTTCAAGGTCTTTCCCAACCAAAAGGATCCTGTCTGGCCATGCAAGATCTCACTCAAGATCACCTAGTTCCAACCCCCCTTGCATGGGCAGGGACACCTCCCATCAGCCCAGGTTGCTCCAAGCCCCTGAGAACTGAGTTATCTTTTTAATTTAAGGTATTTTGGCTAGTTCCAGGTGGCAAACCAGGTCATCATCCTTTGTTAAGGTTGCTTCCCATCCAGCAAACCAAACCCAGGAGCTGAGGGGCAGGAATCTGCTCATCGGGATGAGCAGAAATGATAATGAATGAAAAATGGTGAATGACTTGTTAGAAAACAAGTTGCTGTACTTTTTATGATGAAAGAGGAATCATGACTGTTGGGTCCTGCTGCAGTAACGTTTGTGCTGTGGTTATAGGCTCGTATCTTTAACGAGACCCCTATAAATCCACGAAGATGCCTCCACATCCTTACCAAGATCCTTTACC